TGATGCTGCTTGGCCTGCTGTGTTCATCCAGCCCTGCACCTTGTTGTAAATGACACACTTAAATCAGTTAATCAAGTTAAAAGATAAAGATGATCTACGAATTCAAATTACTAAATAAAACATTCTATAAACAGACATAAAAATGTAGCACTGTAATAGAAATAGTTAACGGTGGATGGGCAGTTAATGACAGAGAGGTGGCAAACATAATAAATAATTGTTTGTTTGATCTTATTCTGTACCAGACAGCTCAAGAAACATGGTCATGTTAAACAAAAAAAAAGCAAGATTAGCAATGAGGTAAGGATATTTTGAATAAAAATAGATGTATTGCAATGAAATAAATAAATCAAAAGAGGGAATAAGACTGTGGTCTACATGCAGCATAAAGGTACATAGACAAGATATAGCAGTCCCAAAGTTGCAAGTAGGTTTTTAATCATGTTCGAGAATGTGTGCCAGAGTGGATGCATGAGTAAAATGAGGGAATGTGGAGTTAGGGGACAAGTGGCAGAATGACTTTCTGTCTAGCATGAAGACAGAAAATAGAGCGTCTAGCCAAGGATAATTATTCCAGAGGTGGGAAGTTGTGTTCGTGAGGATCAGGGATGGCATCACATCTTTTCACAAATTACATTAATTGTAGGGTAGATGAGTCCAAAACTAGAGGGCATAGGTTTAACGTGAGAGGATAAAGATTTAAAAGGGACCTAAGGGGCAACTTTTTCATGCAGAGGGTGTGAGTGTATGGAATGAGCTGCCAGAGGAAGTGGTAGAGGCTGGTACAATTACAATATTTAAAAGGTATCTGGATAGGCACATGGATAAGGAGGGTTTCAAGGGACATGAGCTGAAAACTGGCAAATGGGACTAGATTACTTTAAGATATCCAGTCAGCATGGATGAGTTAAACCGAATGGTCTGTTTCCACTATGTACAACTCTATGTTTTTATGACTCCAATAATTTTGATGCTGGAATCAAGAACACAGGTTGTAAATTTGCAGCTAACAAACAGTTAAGGAGAAGTTAGAGATAAGCACATTAAGGAGAACAGATTCAATGATCGTAACAGCGAACCTGATGAGAAAGATATTAAGGGCCACTGAAAGAAGAAAGATATTGTCGTTGTCTGCCTTGAACAAACTGCCACCTTTTTTGCGTTGTGTACCTGATGTAATCACTATTAACATTGAAAACATTTTCAACAGCAAAATGCTCACTCTTTGTCATTGATTATGTCTGAAAACAACGGAGGCAGACTCATTGAGAAAATATTGCAGAAATGACATTTTATAACAAAAGGAAAAAGAAATCCTTTTTCACTCCAGGGACTGACCCACGTTCAGTATTATGCTACAGTGACCAACACTTCCAATACCTTCTCTCTCAGAGTCTCCTGTACTGATCACTGACTCGGCTGTACATTATGTACCGCTAAAGGAAATAACTTGATCAAAATCAATGACACTGAGAGTTACAAACATGCTTATTGTCTTTCTAAGCAATTTAACAAAAGTACAAATGTAATTCATGAAATTTGACTGATAAATTAAGATATCACTGATCAGGATGTGGGTATAGATCATTTTTGTTTGAATGGCATAATTATCAAATAAGACTAAAATGAAAGAATGATTCCTTATCAATGATTTACACATTTCAACACTCAAAAAAAATCCAGAAACTGCAATTTAAAATGAAAAAGAACTTTATTTTCCATTCCAGGAACTGACCCACATTCAGTATGATGTGACAGTGGTAAACACTTACCAGGAACACCAATGACTGCAAGAATTGTATAATATGCTTTCTTGATAGTGAGAAGTGTTTCCATATTTTTCTCTGTGAAGTGATCTGTCCCTTGGAGCTGCCGACAATCTCTGTAAATTAGACTCTGAGGCAATATACTCACAGAGCCTTAAATTTGTACTTCGTGGCATCTCCATGAGGGAATTGACATTGCACAATTGTTCAATGTAGCTTCTTTAGAGACAAGGAGAACCTAACTGTGGTAAACATTTTAACTCATTATTATGAGGGAATATATTTATCACTTAGATTGAATAGGAGATTCGGAAAAAATGAACAATTTTCATCTCATTAATTTGCTAACTCAAATTGCAAATTGCATTCTAACAGCAATAGTTTTAATCAGCACTTCACAATGCATAAGAGGCCAGAATTCATGAAAATCTGATAATTTGGAAGGATCTGGGACTCAAGATGGTCGGGGTAGGAGGTTTTAAATTCTAGATGAAAATATATCTGAAGAGTCAAGCTGAAGTTTAACCACAAGAGGACAGAGCGGTTTAAAAGAAAGAAACAAAATTGAGAGACCAGAGAGAGAGAGAAATACTTGGGAGAATATAAGATCTATCCAAACCTCTCAGAAGAGCAAGGGACCTGCTTGTGACATTAACTAACCTCAGTTATAAAAGCAGGATGAAATGAAAATAACAGAAATCTTTCACAGGATATGAACATAACTGGCCAGGCCAAGATTTATTGCCCATCCCTCGAAGCCCAGGGGTACTTGAGAGCCAACCATATTGCTGTGGATCTGGAATCACATGTAGGCCAGATTGGTAAGAACAACCAATTTCCTAAATCTAATAACATTTTAGATCTAAAGGATATTTATGAACCAGATGGGTTTTTCCAAAAACCAACAATGGTTTCATGGTTATCGTTCAACTGTTTTTAAAAATTGAATTTAAATTCCACCATCTGCTATATCAGCATTTGAGCCCAGGTCCCCATAGCATTATTAGGGTCTTTTGACTAATAATGTAGTGATAATACCACTAGACAACTACCCTTAGACACAACAGCAGCTGAATGCAAGGGCCACAACATAACAACACGAGACAAAGCATCAAAGAGCAGACAAAAGTATTTTCTCAGTATTGTTAAGGCCATATTGTAGTTAACTGTTTAATTAACTCTTTTAAGTGTGGAGAAAGGTTTGATGATAGCTATACAGGTGATAGTATACATGGACTTAGACCTCCAACAGGTATTTAATAAAACACCACACAACAGATCTGGGTGAAAGATTGCAGTACAGGGAATAAGAACAGTGGAAACATAGATATGACAATGACAGAGATGATAATCAAAGCAGTGATGAATGTTTGGTTTTCAGACTGTGGAAGGTTTATATGAAGGTTTTACAGATATTGGTGTCAGGAACCTGTGTTCTTTTAGCCTTTATTGGTCAGTGCATTGAGTATAGGAATTGTCACGTTGCAGCTGTACAGGACATTAGTGAGGCCATTTTTGGAATATTGCATTTCCATTCTGTTCTCACTGCTATGCTAAAGATGTTGTTAAACTTGAAAGGTGCAGAAAACAAATACAACAATCTTTCTGGGATTGGAGGGTTTAAGCTATAAGGCGAGACTGAATAGACTGGGGCTATTTTCCCTACAGCATTGGAGGCTGAGGGGTGATCTTATAGAGGTTTATGAAATCATGAAGGGCACAGATAAGGTAAATAGCCAAGGTCTTTTTCCCAGGGTAGAGGCATCCAAAACTAGAGGACATAGGTTTAAGTTTAGAAGGGAAAAACATAAAAGGGACCTAATCAGCAACTTTTTCACGCAAATGGTGGTGTGTATATGGAATCAGCTGCCAGATGAAGTGGTAGATGCTTGTATAATGACAACATTTAAAAGACATCTGTGTAGGTACATGAAAAGAAAAAGTTTAAAGGGATTTTGGCCAAATGCTGGCAAATGGGATTATATTAATTTAAGATATCTGGTCAGCATGGACGAGTTGATATGAAAGATCTATTTCCATGTTGCTCACTTCTATAACTCTACAAGTTAATGACAAAGACTCTTGCGTCTGGGGCAGAATTTCAAAATTGTGGATGCTGCAAAACTTGGATGTGTTGTGAACCATGAGGAGAATACTGTTGCATTCATCTTCAAAATGACATTGACAAATTGGTGGAATGGACAGACAAGTGT